TGAGGAAGGGCATCTGAAGAGCTCCTAGAAAGACCTGCCTGTTTCCTCAGGCATGTTCTGGGGGATACCTCTTCATGGCACCCTGCTTTGCTTGCATTCTCTCCGGGTGCCTTTCTTTTTATTATTTGTCTTCATAATCGTCTCACTAACCATTTGCCTCTTTGCATCTTTTAAAGTGTCCATCAGAGTACTGTGCACCAAACAGGTGCTTAGATATTAAATAGAGTAAACATTTCACACATACCCTGTAAATAATGGGAGGAGTCATGTTAAAGCTAAAGTAGTTGAAGGAGTGGGCAATGGCATGCCGTTAACCTGAATCCAAAGGGGGTCAGGTGATACCTGTTATCATACACTTGGGTACTGCCAAGATCATGTTTTGGGGGTTTCCTAGGTGCTTTACTAAATTTAAATATGAACGTTATGGGTGATGTGGTTATTCACCTACCCAGGTAACATTATGGTACCATATACCGGGCCTCCAGGCATCTCCTGCCAGATCTCTTCCTGGTGCACCATATCCATTTCTTCCCACCGCTGCTGCTGTGCCGCGGTGTAGGATATACATACAGCTTGGCAGATCTGGATCTCTAATCTGTATCTTAGCTTTTGACCCAAATAATGTTGTGAGTAAATTGCAGCAAGACTTTGAAACTGGACTTTGGGTTTGAGGAAAATGTAGTGTCCTGGAGGGTGGGACCTAGTGTGGATATACCGTGTCTCTTTTCCAGCTCCTCTCCATTATGATTTAGCAAGTGGGGAGAAAAGACACTTCCAATAAAATGAGCAGCACAGTTTTGCATGTGATGCAGGCTGCACAGAGAACAGTACGAAGCAGGAGAAATTTGTGCCCCAGATTGAAAAATAGGAAAGCAGCAAAAGAGAGGGGATAAAGGTGCTCTTGATGCTGCCTGGGGTGTAAGATGGGTTTAAATCTCTTCAAAGGATGTCTTTGACCTACATGTGCTATATCCTCAGTTATGCAGAGCAGAGGCACCTCAGGTGAGAGGAGCACGTGATCCGGAGCCTGTGGGGAGTTCTCCTGCTGGTTAATGCATTCTGAGAGGCAGGCAGAGGAGGGCCATTGCATACAACTAGTTTAGGCCACAGGAGACCCTGGCACGGTAAGGGAACCGAAGGGGAGTCGTATGGATGCATAAAAATGCTCATGAATACTTATTGCCTGTAGTTTCTCCATTTCCTTAAAGATTTGCTTTTCAGGATAGTATTTCACAAAAGCGGAAACGATGTTTCCGTGATCTGAGATGTAATCTCTATGTAACAGTTTCCATTATATCACAGGGGCATTTTTATATGCACAGTAATATTAAGATCAGGCTATTTAGTGATTCCAGCAACGAAACCAAATATTAATACATGGAGCGTGAAACAGATAATTCTAACAGATGGAGAGTGGGTGTCTTCTGGGGCTGAGAACACTGTCGCATAGTTTTCCACTGTACTATATTTAACAGAGGCTTTTTATTATGCAATGATACTAATTAATAATTTTTCCACTTCCCAGTGGTTGACCGTGGTAGGTATTATATCAGCACAACTTATTGTCAGCTGTAAGAATGGTGATTTGATGTTACATTAGTGGAAGTGGATCCTGTTGCCACACTACTGAGATTGTACAGTTTTTCACCAAAAAATAATTGGCTGTTGTCAACAGCATTTGTTGAACATCCACCATACAAAACCATCATAGGAGACACTGGGACAATGAAAATAAGAGGCACAGTTTCTCCCCAGGCTCATGGAACTGGTGAAATGTATATGTGCCTGCTTTTGCAGTTATGCTTGACCATTAAACCAATCTTTAGCATAGTTCCAGAAGTTTCTTCATGGCTCACTCTCTAGGACAGCATTCCTAATTTTTCCTTACCTCCCTTCTGGTATACTACCAACCCAACAGGTAACCAGTGTCTACCATCTCCAGTGTAAGCATCCTCTCTCATTTCAAACATTTGATTTTGGAATGATTGACTGAACACATGGAGTATGGGCCAAACTTGGTTGATCATGAACCCTATCAATAAAAATTATTTTGGCTTTTATTGAAATTATGCTTATCAAAATTTTGAGTCCTTTGTAATGTAAAACATTTTAATGTTGTTGTTTCTAGTTTGATTAATTCTTTGTGGCAGTGATTCAGTGGTCTGGTTCTAAGTTCAGTTTGATTTAGTACATATTTTTATTGCCTCATAAATTAAAGGGTATCACACAAGATATATCGTTGTAAATGGAAGGAACTGTCCCATTGGCTGTGCCTACTAAATCATAGTGTTTATTTCCAGTCCCATTCATCAGTTATGCAAAGGTTTTTAACTGAAATTTTGCTAGTGAATTTCCATCTTCACTGATAGCGCCACCAGCTCATCTTTCAAACTAATTGAAAGGCGTTACATTATTCATCCTTAACAAATGGGTTAAAAACCCACTGCAGCTCTTTCTTGAAAAGATTCCCCCCCACCCCGTGCGCGCGCACACACACACATTTTTAAAGTTTACACATGCGATAACTTTCTTTTTCTTAGTGTCACACCTTACATTGGTTTTGACAGCAAAACCACATTACAATGACAACATTTCCAAACATCCATTTTCAAAATGCTCTTTTTACAGCACAAGTTCCCTACTGATTTCTCTCTTTGCCTCGACAAGATCGATTAAATGTGTTTATGCTTTTAAAAATATCTCCACCCCCTTGTCATGACAAAAAATAAAAAAGGTCAGCATATTCGAAACACTTGTCATTTTGAAAAAGAAAAACATAACAGTTCTTGTAAGTGGTTTGCCATCACATCATTAGGAAACCTTTCATGGCTCACAGCGTTTCCCTGACGATCCCCCTTCTCATCCTACACTGTGGTCAGGATTCTACTCTGTCCAATAAGAGCATTTGAGCATTACCAACTGGGGATACATAATGGAGCTGTGTAGCTGCACACTGAGAGGAATGGAGAAAGGATTTCTCAGGAGCCTCTGCCTTTCCCTCAGGACTCCTGGACACCACTCACGTGGTGTCCAGGAGTCCTGCATGAGGGTGTCATCATTTTCCCATCCATTAAATACAGTTAAAACGTATTATCTTTCTCCTTTTCAGGTTAAACAGAAGTTTTGGTAGTTTGTCTTGTGCCCTGTAGGTGGGTTATGTGTCCCCTACCCTGGAGACCACAGGTGTCCACCATTGCTCTCAACTCTGGCTGCACATGAGACCACCAAGGGAGCATGGGCAACCTGGGCCACCTCCCAGACCAATTAAATCAGTGTCTCCAAGGTGGGGACCTAGACTGGAGAGCTTTTTAAAGTTCCTCAGGGATGCTAATGTTCAACCAAGTATGGGCATGACACCCGGTACCACTGATACTCCTTACTATTTAGTGTAGAGGGTTACATCCGCCCTCTCCACTGTTTGCTGCATCATCCTCTTGGGCTCTTAAGTAGCCGGCCTGCCTGAGATGCAGGGTGTTCAGAGGGGCCACAAGCTCCTGGACACAGGCCCATGATTGCTGTAGCAGGTCACAGGGAATTTTGTTGGGAACAAACGCACTTTTCCTCATCGACAGAACCAAGATAGGAGTTAGGTCTGTTCTTGAACTTGATGTTTTCGTTATTGAGCAAAGCAGGGACCATAGCAATGTTTGGGCTTCTCATTGCAAGATAATCTAATGCTGTTGTGGAGAAGCCAAGGAGTTAAAAAAAAATATTGAATTAGAGGGATGGGGAGAAGCGAAATAAAAAAGATACATTATCAATCGTGTGGTAGGAATTTCAATTTTCATTTTATTTCCAGCTCTGTATGCAATTCTATGCCATCAGATGAAGAATAATAACATTTGAATAAAATTAACATATTTATGATTCAAAGATATTACATATAGGCTGAGTTGCTATTCAGTTCTTACCCAGTTTTAATACTGCACCAGTGCTAAAAGTTTTAAATTAGAATATTTTAAAGCCACTGCCTCAAGCTCCTTGAGTGACCCCAGCAGCCCTGCTTCTGCCCTGGTACCCTCTTCTATGTGGTCCAGCAGCTAAAAGGTTGATGTGAAGCATGGCAAGGGAAGTCCAGACCCTGCTCTGTGCTGTTTGACCAGTGCCCACTCATACCTGTGGTTAAATACTTTAATTTCACCCCAACTTATATTTGAGTGTGTAATTTTTAGAGCAAGGCATCACAACCATTCTCTCAAACAGTAACTCAGTCACAGAGGTCAAGACTTAGCCAGTAAATACTAGGAGACTAGTCCAAGATCATTCCAGAGGCCCAGCTAGGCCTTCCAACTCCCTAGACGGCTTCTTCTGTCTGATGCCGGTCATTATCCCTTCTTATCCATCGTCTTGCTAGATCAGATCTCTGGAGAAATATATTAGTAAGTATACAGTTTTGTTCTATTGTAGAAGTACTTATTAAGTAGCCTTAGCATTGTGCTAGAATATAAGAAATATTTTGTAAATTGCTGCCCTGTGCACAGACACAGAACAGTAAAAGAGCAGTGCAAGAAATATATGCCCTGTGCTCAACAAATGGTTTATGAAAACTGTGAATGCCTCAAGAAGAAAAGAATATAAGGAAAGGCTTCAATGGGAGGATGAATAGGATTCCTGAGAGACTGAGGCTTCACTCTACATACTTTCTTCACCGGCTCTGTTGCTTAGCAATTTAATTAGGGGCTACTGCTCTGTGTGACTAATGATTTCCTTTAACAACTTCTGGGCAGTTACATTTACTGCTGCCCACTTAGGCTGTTTCTGCTTACAGTTTTGAATATATTGCTTACAATTTTCCCTTCATAGCCCCACATTTGTAATCACTATATAATTTACCTTTCTTAAGTCTGATATTAATAAATGGAGAATAAAAAGTGAAGAAAATTTCATAGAATGGTAATTAACCCAGATAAACTATTCTGGAATCTCTGTATGAGTGCCATTGTATTTAACTTCATTCCACACACCAATTCTCTTTACCCCCCCCCCCCTTTTTTTTTCTACCTTGTTTGAAACTAGCCCACAGACTATAAGCACTGTGAAGCCAGTTTCTGTGTTACTTTTCCCCCTTTTACGACCACCAAGATCGGTGTTCAGATCCGATGGGAAAGGGAATCGGAGGGCCCACACCGTCTTTTAGTTTTCTCTCCACTCCATCTTCTTCCTTAGCCACAAAGAGATGAGTTTGTTCAACTTATATTTTCCTAGCAAGAGATCTGTTTAATAAAATATGGTGAAGCTCTAGAAAGGATGAAATTTTCTCCCACCAAGTAAAGGGAATTTAAAAATACTACTAAAATACGCGTAGATGGTGTCCATTCAAGCTGGCGGCCGGAAGAAAGGGTCATCTCGTACTGTCCACAAGCACAGAGGAGGTTAGTGAAAGGTTATCTTCCTTCTGAGAGGCAGTTTCCATATACGTCCCTTGGAGTAAAGATCAGAATGTTATCAGAGATGGACTATAACTCAGATTGCACAGTAAAAAGGAAGTAGGAGCTAAATTTAGAAGGTACATGAAACCTTTTCAAAAATAGATATGTAGCTAAGAACACATAAAAGAGGCAATATGCATTTTTATCTTCCTGAAAAAGCAATGCAATTTGCTAATTCTTTCAAGTTATATAGAGATGGATTTGGTTTGGTTTTATTTCATGACCCATGCTACATCACCAAAGCTTTTCATTGTAGCTCATCAGAATTTAAGGGGAAGAACATGTATGGATATATAATCTTAGGTAAATAAATTCTTCATGTACTAGTACATCTTTAAAAAGGTATCTTTAAAATGGTTTTAATCGGGTTGTGGTCTCTTTGCATTGAAAACATGACATAGAGATGAATGCAGTATAGTGAGATTTGGGCATTCTTGTGGAGAAGAAAACAACTTACATGTTTACTTAAAGTCGACATGCTTCTGATTGAAAAACCGTTGTAACTGTAAAATAATTACCAGTAACCCATAATTTAACATTTCCTTAAGATATAAAACTGGTAGTGCTATGTAGCAGGTTGGGAGGCATCATAGAAACTATTTTGTATTTTTGGAACAGGTTTCCAAAAGTTGAAATCTCCCAAAGGGTTTGTTCACTAAATGTAAGTAAAGGACTAGCCAAGTGAAGACATTTCACCATCATTCCCCTTGGATCATACCTGAAGTACAAACTCAGGTTGCTTCTGTTTACTGAGCCACTGGTATGTGCTTGTTCCTCTGCTCTTATATATGTGTAATATCATATTTAAGCTTTACAAAATGCTGTGACAAAGGTATCATTATCTCTATTTAGAACAAAGGAAACTGAGGCTCGGAGAGGCACCAAGCAAGTATATGGAAGCATGGTTAAAACTCAGTGTTTGGCTGTAAAATCATGGGCCCTTAGCTACTGTGCACTATACCTCAGTATAGTCATGACCCATAACAACCCAGACCATGTAGAACCATTGGTATGTAATGCATGCCCAGGTCAGGTCTCCTTGGTGGATTGGAACTCAAAACATACACATTTGAAGTTAAATGTAACCACAGCTCTAGGGTATAAATTTAGGGACTGGAGAGGGAAAAGCATTGGAAGATCCCATGTGCACATTATTTTTTAATGGGTTCTGACCAGGAAGCTGAAAAGATTTCTACTGGTTAGAGTTTTATTCAAGGTAATTCTCAATTCCTTTTATGCAGAATGCACACACAAAAAAACAGAAGAATTACACAAGCTATAAAGGGAGAGGGGAAAATTAGATTACTTCAGTGCCAGGCAGGCAGTGTGAAGCCAGCCAGGTTTTATTCTTTCAGTTAGTGAAGTTAGTGAATGAGTTAATTAGTTTGGGCATTATAAGACACACAATATTCTTCACTCCCATGAAGAATTATGCTCTCTCCCGTTTTTATGGCAATAGTGAGAGGCAGGTGGCAGCCTAATGGCTACAGCGCCTTGTCCTGTTGGAGTATGGGCACAGTGTTGCTGGGTCTTCCATTTTTAAAAAAATGTATTTTATTGATTTTTTACAGAGAGGAAGGGAGAGGGATAGAGAGTTAGAAACATCGAGGAGAGAGAATCCTCGGTCAGCTGCCTCTTGCACACCCCCTACTGGGGATGTGTCTGCAACCAAGGTATCGATACATGCCCCTGACTGGAATCAAACCTGGGACCTTTCAGTCCGCAGACTGACGCTCTATCCACTGAGTCAAACTGGTTTCGGCTGGGTCTTCCATTTTTAAAGAGAAATAGGAAATATTTGTTTAATGAGAAAGCTCTCAGTTTTAGTTGTTGACCCCATTAAAAAAAATTGTTTGTGTTAGAATAAGTAGGTCTATAGACGCTCAGAATACTTATAGGGCCAAAACCGGTTTGACTCAATGGATAGAGTGTCAGCTTGCGGACTGGGGAGGTCCCAGGTTCGATTCCAGTCAAGAACATGTACCTTGGTTGTGGGCACATCCCCAGTGGGGGGTTTGCAGGAGGCAGCTGATAGGTGTTTCTCTCTCATCAAAGTTTCTAACTATCCCTCTTTCTTCCTCTCTGTAAAAAAATCAATAAAATATATATATAAAAAAATACTTCTAGGATTCTTGATTTCTCTCTCCCAAGTCTTCCCCAGACAAAGGTTGAACTTAAGAAACTACTTTGCCTAAGACACTTGGGTTTTACACCTGTTGTGTTAGCATCCCATCAGTTTAACATTTACTCGTTTTTTCATTTTTCAGTGAAGCTTTCTTATTAGCATCTGCACCAAAAAGATCCAGGATGGATCTGATAGACTTTCATTTTGTATTTCCAGATTCTGTTGAGGCAGTTGAACAGATTTCTCATGCCACCACTGGTTAAATCAGAAAGATGTTTCAACTCTTTTTCAAATCCTCCCCAGATGCAGTATAATGTATCTCCCTTTCAGAGACAGCATGTGAGCACTCACTGCTAATACACAGTCTGCTCAGATAAGAAGGACTAGGGACAGTCAACTCCTTTCATCCTCTAGGGTGGTAGAGAAGGATGGGTCTGCTGCCTTTGCTATCTATTTGATGTTATTAGCCAGTCTTGCTGTGCTCTGTCTATGGGCCGTGAGGTCCACTGAGACACCAGGATGTCGTTGAGCAGGATCAGCAGGATATTGTTAGGTGCATGTAAAAAATTCCCACTGAACACGCTTGCATGGTGGTCTGAAAGCTTTGGCTTTATTATTTATTGTTTGGCATAAATCTATTGCTATTTTCTTTATTTCCTGATTATGTATTTATTCTGCAGTAAATCCTTTGGCCATACACAGCTTTAAAAAACAAATCTGAAAATGCACGTTTAACAAAAAAATTAAATACTGAATTTTCTTCCTAAAAAAAGTAAACATTAATGGGTAACTTGTACAAAATTGTTGCTATTTAACATCCACCATTGTAGCCATAGTGATATCATCAACCACACAAAAGTCAATGGTAAATGTTTTTGCTTCTTTAAAAATGTTGAAAATAAAAGTATTTTTGTGATAACAATCCTATATAATAAGAGAAGAGTATGTTAATTATCGATTACACCCTGAGGTGTAACAACCAACCACCTAACCACCAGATCACGGATCTGCCAGCAGGGTGGGGCAGTGAACTACAAGTGGGCAGCAGAGAGCTACAGGATGGGGCAGGGCAGCAAGCAAGTGGGAGGCGGAGAGCTACAGGAGGGCGGCAGCGACCTATTGGCACACAGATTCCTGCGCGGGGCCACTAGTATGAATGTAGTTCTTGGTGCATAGTATCATGATAAATAGAACATTTATTAAGTTACAATGCCTATGGAGCAGAAATGTTTTGGGAGTTGGTTATGACTCACACCTAAGTCATAATTGTGTCCAAACAAGCTCCAATAATCAGTCATGAGCTCCATCTCTTAAAATTATTTGTGGAAGAATAATATTATGAACTGATAGAAAAAAATAGTTCCTATGAAAATACTTGAACTGAAATACATGCATATTTGCATTTAAAAATTAGAGTTAAGGATACTTTCCATTTAGCAGAATTTGTTCTAAGCTTCACAGGCATTTCAGTGCCTAAAAGTGAAGATATTTCTGAGTTAAAAATACTAAGTTCTACAGAGAAGGACCCAATTGAAAATGTTCAATGTTTCAAATTTATTACCCTAAAATGGTTCATGTAATTTTGAAGACCATTGCAAGCATTTTTATGAACTAGTTAAATGTATAATACGTTTACACTGAAAAAAATAATACAGTCTTCTGAAAACTGTCAGGGACAGGATATTAGGAACAGATATGGCTAAAAACATGACTAAAGTACATGTATGTACCAAGAAAAATTCCTCTACTCTTCTTTTCTTTGTATTTGAGAACATTTTAATAATGCCAATGTAATAAATTGATTTGTTGGTTAATATTTCAAAGATATATAACATTAGCTTTTAGTAATGTAGTTTTAGTAACCATTTTCATACTCAAAAGTGTCATGTGTTAGACTATAATATCTATCATCATACTTTCTCTAGAATGTTGCAGGTTTCTCCATACTGGTCCAAGTAACTTTTTCCAATTGATTCTTCTCTGTAATCTTTCTGAAATTTGGGTCCTTTCTCAGATTGACAGATTATATAACTCATTTACTTCCTCCCAAATTTTTAAAATTATGAACAACAAAAATGCCTAGTGAGATGTGGGTTCTCCTATTTCCTTTACTGTCTTGCTCCTTGGATTCTAAATGTTTCATTACCATTTCTTATAAGACAAGTTTGCCATTGCTTTCCTTTCTTTTTACATACTATCGGAACCATTTCTTGTTCTTTGAATTAAAGGGATAGTTAAGAAATGCTCTAAGAAACTTCTTTCCTTCTGTGAGATTTGGAGACCCAGACCCCTTTTCACTTTCAGTTCTCCTGAAACACAAGATCTGAAGTTGCAGTGGTCAGGTTTCACATTGGATGTCCTAGAAAGATTACATTCCCTGTGTAGGACTTGGAATTCTGAGACCAACTGGGACACCCTTCTTTAAGGAGCCTGTTCTTTTTTCTTTTTCTTTTTCTTTTTTTTTTTTCTGGCTTTGCTTAAAAACCTACCAAGCTGAACAGGGGAATCATCTTTATCTCTTTTTCCTGCTGTCAAACAAAATAAAACCCCAAACCAGCAGCAGCATG